CAACTCCCAGAATTCCCCAGCCAGCCTGGGGAATTCTGGGAGTTGAAGTCCACCCATCTTCAAGCTGCCAAGGTTGAGAAACACTGCACTAGACATTCCTTGTGATCACTGGGGAATTGAAGCGAAGTGACTTTGGATAACAGCTGTTCTGATTTTATGTCTCTGAAGTTGTCTGTATTTCAGCTAACGTTTTCTTCTTTTAAAAGGAACTCCCTCTGTATCTCTGCAAATTGGATGTAACTTTTCAGAAAGGTAATGTGTGCAGAACGTTCGGTTTGTTGTACTGCTACATTGCAGCCTCGCCGACAGCACTGATAGACTGTCTGGTGCTTTTCTTTAACTTCGTATTTTCAAAGCAGCCGAGACAAAAAGAGTTCTACAGTGCTTTAATAAAAAAATCACAAAGCAATATAAACATGGAACTGTGTTAAATGGGCAGGAGCAGTACAAATATTGGTCAAGTAATGATTTTGAACAGAAACACAAGTAAATGCTTTCTTGTTGCAAAAATAAAAAGTCTCATCGTGATGGTCTAGAGCAGGGTTCCTCAACCTTGGCAACTTTAAGACGGGTGGACTTCAACTCCCAGAATTCCCCAGCCAGGCCCCAATCTGACTCCACGTTAATCTTTTCTGATATTAATCTTACTCACACTTGTCTGTTGTGTAATCATAAGCTTCCTCTAAAGCAATGTATCCCTATCTTGGCAACTATAAGATGTGTGGACTTCAACTCCCAAAATTCCCCAGCCAGCATGGGGAATTCTAGGAGTTGAAGTCCACATGTCTTAAAGTGTGCTGTCTGGGGAATTCTGGGAGTTGAAGTCCAACCATTTTAAAGCATGCCGACTGGGGAATTCTAGGTGTTGAAGTCCACACATCTTAAAGTTGCCAAGGTTGGGAAACGCTGCTCTAAAGAATTCAGGATCACTCGAATGCTGGGACCCTTCCATTTTTATCTTTCCTACTGGGAGGGTTTACATATCCCACACAACACAGCACTGTGGGAATCCAGCCATGGTCATTTGTCAGTGGCTTTTATTTGACAAGTCGTGGTTCCTTTTGTGAGAGAAGTGAGAATTGGGTGTTCCAGAGGGTATTTTATTATTTAAACTGCTGCTGCTGCTAGAAATTCTCCCCAAACGGCTTAGTTATGAGTTGGCAAGAGGCGGAAAAACAAAATCTGGAGGGCCTGTTCATAGCGTTCCTTCTGGCCAGCCTGACCATAATATGGAGGTGGTCTTTCAACCAAGCTGATAGAGCTCTGACATCCCACCTGCCTTCTCCTCCTCCTTTCCTCCTTTTTTTAGCGATGTCTCTGAACAAAGGTAGAGAATTTGCTCTTATGATGTTACTATCCAAAATGAGGACATTGTATTTTAGCCAATTCTTTTTTTTAAGCCAGGATATGTGTCATATTCCAATGCTGCATTTCCCTTGAATCTTTCTCCGTTCATCCAAATAAGAAGGTTGGCTGTTTTAGTCATGGGTGATGTTTTCTTACTTTTTTTTCCCTTATGAGTGTGCCAATTTCTCTGGGAGTATCTTTGGATCCTGTCCCCAGCCTCATCCCTTCTAGAAGTAGGGGACCATGGCTTACATAGTCCTAGGCCAGCATGACCTTTGCTCCTAGGCTGGCTGGAGTTTATGGGAGGGTTTTGAGAGCATGGGAAAATGGCAGACTTGCCTGTTCACCTAATAGTTGCCATGATGGACATATTAGAGAAGTTGCAAATTAGCTCTCCAGAATGTGCTCCACCACTTCAGTGGGGACTTGCGAGACCCCAAGGCTTTGTTGCAAGCCAGGTGGTGCAGGGAGCCTGGGGGCATGTTCTGTGTATTCTTCACGTACCATTTCTCAGCAATACAGCACATGCTCTGCATGCAGGAAGGTCCCAGGGTCGCTCTCCTGGAAGACCTGGGAAGAGAGACTCTCTTGCCTGAGTCATTGAGATGGGACTAGCCCCCGAAGACAGACTTGAATGAGAAGGACTAAGGGTTTCACCCTCATCTGACTTCTGAGAGCAACAAATCAAGGCTTATTTCTCTGTGGGGTGCCAGCCGGCCCATTGCAGCTGTCAATAATTTCCCCATGTCCCCAGCAGCAACCAAATTCTGCTTGTGTACATCAGAGTGCCAGTGTGAAGGTGAAGACAAGCGTATCCCCCTCCTCCAAGAGGTGTTTGAGGCCTTTCCCCACACGCCTGTCAACATAGACATCAAAGTAAACAATGACCTGCTGATTAAAAAGGTGAGTCCTGTCCTGATTCCGCCTCCTACCACTTTAAGTCCTTGTTGCTTCTCACTGGGCAAGTGTTGGCTTTCTAGTCCGGACAACTGTGGCCAGGTTCCTCAGTGGTGGTCAGGCAGGAGACGTATGGATTCCATATCTGCGTGGCAAGAGTCCAAAGGCATCCTTACTAGAAAGAGATGTGCTGAAAGTTGGGAATACAGCACTCAGATCCTTGTGCTTTAGAAAGGTGTAACAGATGGCTAACGTGGGGAGAGAGCAGGAAGTAGTGAAGAGGCAGGAAGCAGTGAGAGGTTTCTGAGACAATATTGTCTATGGAATACAGTAGTTCAGAGTTTTTTCCAACCTGGCGAGGAGATGCTGAAGGTGGAACCTAAGATCTTCTGCATGCAAAGACCGAACTCTGGTCTGCCCTTCAGGTTCTGTAACCTGGGTTGGAGTCAGTTTGGCTAAAAAGTACCCAGTAGAGCTTCACAACGGTGTCCCTTGCTCATTCAGAGATAGACAAACAGTCTGACAACGGTGTACCAAGCATTTTAGTCTGGTAGAGCAAGAAGGTAGGACAAAGATGGCAGGTTTAGCTCACGCACTATTATACGTGTCAGCTTAGAAATACTTGACCAACACAGTTCTCAGAACCACAATTCCCGGGGGCTAGTTTGAGTTACAGGAGATATCTTTTGAGAAGATGTTACAGCTTGTGCTTTATAGCATATGCTTGACTGTAAAAGGTTCTAGTTTTCACTTTGTCTCTTCATTTTAAAAGATGAGGTACCAAAGTGATGGGAAAACCTCCTCTTAAGACCTTGAATTTATTTATTTATTTATTACATTTATATGCTGGCCATCTCCCCCAGAATCACTTCTAGTCAGAACAAACTATACTGCACAGGGTGGACCAGTAGCTTTGACACACCATCTCCCTTTTCCAGGATTGCAAAATATTTCAGCGTGCCACTTCTAAATGCCACAGTGAGGTATTCTCCTTACTGATCTAAAATGGTGACTTTTATAAGCCACCTTGGAAAATATATCTATTTTTAAAATAAGCGTTTCTGTGCACTTGAGACAACTCAGATAGATCAAAATGGTATGTACGATCCACCTTCCCTTAAATTCTCGGTGAGATATGGATGTTGGAATATGTTATGAGGTTTTACATGACTTCCACCCCCTCTCGCCCTCCAATTTCTCTGTTTTTACTATATCCTGGGGGGGGGGTGTTACTTAACATAGGCCACTAGGAGGCAGTACGTCTCTGGTTTCATCCTATATGGGACTCGTCAGATGAACATATGTACGTCTGACAAGTCCCAGTATAGGAAAAAAACAGTCACATCCTGTCTTCTGTTGAGACAACTCAAGTAATCTGAGCAGTTTGGCTTTGATCTCAACCAATACTCAAAACGATAATATTTTAATCTTCCATTCCCCTATGGATTTATGCTCATCGGTGGAGCAGGTGTCTTCACTGTGGATCCAGACACAGTATAATGCAGTCTCTGGTGAAGTTACTTGATTTATTTTTAGCTTCAGCCATAAAACAAGTGTCCTTATCTTATCACCCACATACTGGAAAGACAGGACTCCTAATTACCATTTTTCATGCATGAAGGCCTTGAACTCTAGACTAATAGTTCACCAAGTAATGTAGGAACTCAAACTCCAACTCAACTTAGGGCAGATTTTTTTTTAATCCATTTCATTTTTCTACTGATCTTAGGTTTCTGAATTGGTGAGCTGTTACAAACGAGAACACTTGACGGTTTGGGGCAGCGTCAGCCATGAGGTTGTGGAGAAGTGTCACAAAGAGGTAAATAATCAGAATTATACCCTGTTGGTTTTCTCCTTGATTATTTTTTACTCTCCCTTTTTTCCCGGGTCCTCTGGACCATATACGGAATTCTTTGTCTGGTTCGTATGGAGAGAGGCCTTGATGAAACGTTCATACGTACTCGTGTATATACGTTTCTACGGATGGTCCATATGAAGGCCTCAGATGAAATGCCTATACGTATGTAAATACATGTGGATTTTGGGTGGATGGTTTGTATGGAGGCTTCAGGTGACATTTTCATATTTATGTATGTATGTAAATTCATACGGATAGTTGGTATGGATATCTCAGATGAAATATTCATATACAGTGGTACCTCTAGTTACGAACTTAATCCGTTCCGTGACTCTGGTTGCAACTCGAGTT